AACTATTGGCCTCTCCCCATCTGGAGCAAACAAGAGTGAAAAAAAAAAAAAAAGAGTCAAGGAAACAATCAGTCCAAAAGACTAATGGACCACATTAACCACAGCCTCCACTAGCATGAGACCAGAAGCACTAGATGGTACCCGGCTACTACAATGGACTGCTCTGATCGGGATCACAAAAGGTAGTCCTGGGCAGAAAGGGAGAAAAATGTAGAACAAAATTCAAAATCACAAAAAAGACCCACTTTAACTAGTCTAATAGAGACTGGTGGAACCCAAGGGATTACGGAGACACCCTTCAAGCCTGGAACTAAACTCATCACCAGGGACCATCTTTTAGCCAAACAATAGAGAGGCCCATAAAGTGAACAGTAATACCCAGGAGGAACCTGATCTTCAGAACAATCAACAATATGAGACCAAAAGGGCAGCATCTGCCCCAGAACAAAGGTCAGAAGACAGGAAGGGGCAGCAAAGAAAGACGAATGGAAACCGGGAAGCCAGGGAGGAAGAGGCAAGACTGCTAATGTCATGTTGTATAAACTGCTGAATGTGAAACTAATTTACTCTGTAAACTTTCATCCAAATCAGAATAAAATGCTAACAAAACAAAACAAAATTCTAGAATTAGATAGTAGTGATGGTTACACAACCTTATAAATGTCCTAAAAAGCACTGAATTATACATTTTTAAAGGGTGAATTTTCTATTACGTGAATTAGATCTTAAAAGTAAATTATCTTCAGATCTTGCCAAATATAACTAAAGCTCCATGGTGCCTGCAATGGTCACTACTGACCTTCAAGATGTGGCCTAAAACTTCCAGTCTTAATCACTTTCTCTTCCCCCTTTAAGGAAGCTCCTCTCTTCCTGCCTCCTTGGTCTTTGTTCCCATTCCTTTTTTGCCATCTCTGCACATCAAATCCTTACTCCAAGGATGCAAACCAGTGGGCTACAGTCAAGTACAGCCCACAGATGGCTCACAATGTTTTCCTGTGTGTGTTTTGAATGGAATTAGTTATTAGGAGGAGATTTCACACAAGCATCCCACTTCTAGCTTGTGGTTGATTTGCCTGCCCAAGAGCCTCATGGTCCGCTTCTTTCTTGCTAAATAAATCTGTATTTTGTTTGGGTGCCTGCTCAGGGAAAGTGGGTCCACCCCAGCGGATGAGCCCAGTCATCCCATTTACCTTTTCAGGGACTGGTCTAAGCGTGACTATTGGAATAGTCAGGGCTTTGAGCCACTGGCAACAAAAACAGGTTCTGGCTGTTTCAGTAGAAAACAGGGTTATTATATGTCAGAAGCCAATTTCCCATAAAGCTAATGATGCTTAAGCTCAAGGGTCCCTCACATACACAGCCCCTATGAGCAGGGAGGGAAGCCAGATTGCAATCAAGACACATTTCTACATCAACATTTGTGGCAAATATCCTAATGAGATCTAGGACAAAGAGATATGAGCCTCCTGATAGCTAGTATTTGCTACAATTTCTTTACTCATTCTAAATAAAAGTTCACCTTCATATTTAATTTTCTATTACTCAATGACCCAGATGTTAGAATTACAGACAAACATTTGAAAGCAGCTATTATAACTAATCTCTAGGTAGTAAAAGAAAATACACTCCCACTGAATGAACAAATCAGGGTATCTCAGTAGTAAAATAGAAACTGTTAAAAAGAAGAAAAGAACTAAATGGAAATTGCAAACCAAAGAGTGGAAATATCTGGAAGGAGGCTGGAAAACAATCTTCTGAGTTCTAGCCTGGAAGGGTAAGGCTCGGGAGGCTAGGTTTCCTCACAGATAGCCAGGCAGGCAGAAAGCATGGCAAATGTCCTCCAATGCCTGTGACCCAGCTCTGACTCATGAAACAAAATGGGGGAAATGCCCTGATAAAGAGAGAAAGTATGAGAAGAGACACCCTTTTATCTTCTAACTTTCCCCTTTTTGAGGTGAACACTGTTGCCTCAGGAGTACGTGCTAATACTTAGCACTGTGGCAGCCATTTTACCATCATGAGGGGAAGTCCTGTAAATGGCAGATACAGAAGCTAACTAGAGCCCTGATATTGAAGATCTGCTGGACATGCTCTGGAACCACACACCTCTAATTTCTCTGGTAGCATAGTGGTTATAAATTGGGCTGTTAATCTCAAGGTCAGCAGTTCGAGTCTACCAGCCGTGCCACGGGGGAAATATGAGGCTTTCTGCTCCCATAAAGATTTACAGCCTCATAAACCCTATACAGGGTCACTCTGAGTCATAACTGACTCAATGGCACACCACCATGTGATAATAAGCTGCTCTTGTAGCTCTGCAGGATAACGCAGTAGATGCAAGGTTGGTTTGAACTGCTAGGTCAGTGGTTCAAACCCTCCAGGCACTCCTCAGAAACCCTATATAGGATTGTTATGGGTGGGAATTGACTAGTCGGCACTTACCAACAACAAGCATTTGTTACAATAAAATAAAGTCCTAAATAAATAAAGTCCTAATTAAAATGGAGAGGTCTGAAGATACCAGAAAGCCCCTTTAGATGGGTCAGATGCTTTCTATTTACTGATTTCACTATGTCTTTGTACAGTTACGTTTGCCATCTCTGCCACACTATCTTTTGAAAAACGCCTTAACTGACCCTTCTTCCATAAAGGACTCCCAGCTCTAGCTCAACCCTATGTCACTAGAACTTTACTTTTCTTGGAACTCTATAGTTTTGCCACTAACTCGATTTCCTATGCTAATTGCTTGCTATGTGCAGTCTTGTTGGTTCTGGCTCATACAGACCCTTTATAGGGTTTCTGAGGAGCGGCTAGTGGGTTTGAACCACCAACCTTGCGGTTAGCAGTGCAGTGCTTATCCTTCAGTGCCACACTTGTATTTGGCTTCATGCCTTCTGAGGGCAGGAACCAAATCTTATTTGTCCCTGTGCTTCCCCTCTGCCATCTAGAGAGGTGCTTGAATGTAGAGGCGCTTGACGCATCTTTCCTGAAAACATGAATGAAAATTGCCTATAGTGAAGAAGGGCATGGTTCCAGAACACCCTATTCCCTGAGAGCATCAAGGAGCTTTGTACAGGTGGCATGCATTGCTTTTCAATCCAGGAAAACAATGTCCTGGCACCCACCAATACACCAGTGTACTTAATGTGAGCTGCCTCAGCTTCTCACCCCAGTCACCCTAAGCAAATCCTTAGCAGTCACCTCTCTGAAGCTCACCTCCTACGCCCTTCCAGGGACCCTGGGCTGACCTCAGTTCTGCCTTTACCGAGGATGCCTGCTCCAACAGATTCTTCCTAGGATAGTCTGGGAACAGCTGTCAGTCACCAAAAACTCCAGAAATGTACACATATACAATCATCACTCCCATTTTACATAACAGCAAGCCAGGCAACTTGAAAACACACTAGCACAAACCACAGGTACACATAGAAGGTCTGCTTCAGGCCCAAGAGAGGATATGCAAAGCCCTTCTGATTGCTAACAAATCCTGAAAAAATGCAACTGACTTTTGTATCCATTCTGGATCCAATTTAGCCTCGGGAATGCCTCACACACTGGAAGTGGTTTTTCAGTTCCAGGGAGGCTCTCTGACACTTAGCTTGTTGCTTGAGCCTGGCCTTGGACTCTATCCTATCAGTCTATCCTATCAACCTATCCTATCAACCTCAGGTGTAAAGGAATTCTCTAGGCTAGTCTGTCAGTCTACTGAGCAGGGCAGGGAAACAATTGTTTAACACCAGAGCCTGGGCTCTTGCAAGCTGGGATCTCAGGTGCTGTTCTTGAGAAACATTCTGGAATCGAGAGAACTGAGAGGGGCAGTCCTGGGCACAGTGTGGACAGCAGCCAGGGAGAGTGGGATGTCTGCTCGGCCTCTGCGGAGGAGACACATACCACTGAACGCAGGACATGAGCAGGACAAGGGAGGCGTCTGTTCTCTAAAGGGCAGCCTGCTGCAGAGGGGGCTGCAGAGGCTCCAAAGGGCAGCCTGGGCTGTAGGGGCAAAGGTTACAAAAAGGGAGAGCATGCTGAGACTGGTGCTATTCAGGAGACAGCTGCTTGAGGGGTCCCCAGGGTGAGGGTGGGAGGAGTCTGGAATGCTCTAAGTTGACAGATGAGCTCCCAGCTCAACCAACTCCTGAAGCAGTGGAGGCACAAAAGCAGGACTCAAATGGGGGTATTTGTGCATCACAGGTCCATAACCTTGGCCTACAAAGCTCTGCGCTTTCGTGCTCTGAGAAGGAGGGCAGACTACAGCAGGGGCAAAGGCGGGTCTGGGCACTGTAAATGTCTCTCACTGTCTGCTGTAAGCAACTATGACTGGTTACATGATATTTTTTTGGTGCCAAAGTGTCTAGGTTCAGGTACCAAATGATGACAGACTGGGAAGGGTGCAGCCATAAAGGGAAAATGAATTACTTCTGTGGAATTCTGAACATCATAAAGTATAAAGATGATTTAATCACACTCCCTAAATGCCACGACCAAGGTACAGGTTTGAGGTTCCGAAATCTCTCAGCACAAGAGGGCTGGCAGTGGGTGGCAGCTTCAAGGCCCTCCCCCTTGTGATTCCAGGCCAATGAGCTTTCCTGATTTGATGGAGATGTTCTTGGAGCCCTCCCAAGCAAACCTGGGCTCTCAGGAAAAATTTGGGAGCAAATGTCCACTTGGATCCTGAAACAACCTCAGTCTGAACCCAGCTTCCCTGGCCTGCCCTTGGAGGGATCCCCAGTCTGTGAGGTCAGCCTCGACTTGGCCACAGTGATCTGGATCTGAGGCCCAGTCAAGGTGCCCAAGGGCCTGCTGCCTCAGCTTTTTATTAACACTGGAGCCAGAGCCAAAGATGGCCCGATGTTGCCACGTCCCTGGTGATGCAATGCAATGTCCTTGCTGGCACATCCCCTGCGTGCTAGGCTCCCGGGGGAACAAGAGTCATATACTGTACAAGCTTGACAGCCCGGGAATTCAGAGTGCCAAATCTCCACCCTGGCCCCTGTACTGACCGGATGGACTGAAGAGCCTATCCACACTGACATCCCACAGGAGACCAAAGGCTTCTGAAGAAGTTTCTGAAGGCCAAGTCAGCAGCTAGGAGGAAGAAAAAAAATGGGTCAGATGGGTCACTTCTATGTCGCAATAGTAGCAAACCTCTTCAGAAACCACCGAGGGTTAGTCAGAGGACATTATCCATTTAACCCTCACAAGCCCCTGAGGTAGGAGGGTAGCACGAGTATGCCAATTTTACAGTTGCAGAAACTAAGCTCAGAGAGGTCAAGCAAATTTCCCAAGGTCACACAGCCACTAAAAGTCAGGATTCTAGCCCAGGTCAATGCAACTAAAACCATTTTGTTTCCTTTACTCCATCTACCTCCTCATATAAGAGTCTTGGTTCTTGTGCCACTTGCTCCCTGTGGGCACAGCCAGGCTCTTCTGGAGCAGAAAGTGTAGGAGGCAGAAAGAGCTCACAAGCACTGATTCCAGTCAGCTGGATAATGTCAGGGTCAGAATGTTTCCAGGACAGCACCTTAAAACCTCACAGTCATCTGCCACCACTAGTACTGGGAGGTCCTGGGATGGAGCACACACCCTCAGGCAAATGGGGGACTCACCCACCTGACTCAAAACCACTGGGACCCTTATTTGAAAGTCCTCTGAATCAGAGTCATAAGCTGGGGATGTTGAATGTGGACAGAGTATGACATGGGGATGAGCAACGGAACTGCACTCCCCCCACTCATGCCATCCAACCTGGGGACACACTCCTGAGGCCAGGCCTTAGAGGAGGGCCAAGCTACCTTGGCAGTACCACTGCAGCTCACTGTTGGCCATGCTGAGCTAGCACATGCCTGGTGGGCTCATCACCACCATGCTTCCACTAGGGTTGGGAGGATCAGGAAATTTCCGGCCAACTCCAGGTGTGGTGGATGCCGTGGTACACACCCCTTTAAAGGACTAAGGTTCTCATTCCCAGCCCCCAAGGCAGGGCACTATTGTAACTGAGGGCCTTCAGCCAAGTCCCTCTCTGGGAATTGCCTTTAGAGAAAAGGAAGTGCCTAACCCAAGGTCACTGTGCCTCCCCAAGTGCAGACTACATCTGATGCTTGGTAAATGCTGGGATCCAAAGACCTGGACCTCTTGCCTTAATTCGGGACAACTCTAAAGGGTTCAATGTCTGCTGAATGATGAATGCATGTCATTGTTATGGGGAAAATATGATGGCTTCCAACCAGTTAATTTCAGTTCATCCCCTGATGAAAACGTGCATTTCCACCCCTAATATATCGACTCTAAAGCTACTTTTTAATAAGATTCCTAGATGACTCTTACAGATCCCTATGCTAGTTAAGGTTCTGTGTCAACTTGACTGGACCAGGATTCTCAATGGTTTAGCAGTTAGGATCTAGTGATCCCCCATAATGAATCTAATACAATGTCATCACTCTTATGACGAGATCAGATGCAACCAGTCCTGTTCTGATGTCTGTGTATTGTAAATCAGTTCTAGGATGTTAATGAGGCCAGATGCAATCTACAGGATTAGGCTGTATTTTGGATCAATCTCTTCTGAGATGGAAAAGAGATTAAACAAGCTAAAAGAGCTGAGCAGGATCTACAACCACCAAGATAGTAGCACTAGCTGTGAGCGGAGTATGCTCTTTGGGGTCTGTGCACTGTGAAGCTTCTAGACCTGGGAAAGACTGATGCCAAGACAGTCCTTCCCCAGGAAAGGAAAGCTGGACCTGCAGATGCTGAAAGGAGATTAAGGGCCCTTTTCCAGAGTCAGTGCTCTGAACTAGGACTTTTTGCGCTCAAACTGTGAGAGAGCAAATTTCTGTTTGTTAAAGCCATCCACTAGTGGTCTTTTGTTATAGCAGCACTGGATACTTAAGATAATCCCCATAGAACGATGTATACCTAAGAATCCCCAGATGATTCTTATGTAAATATCTTATGTATACACAAGAATCATCTGTGATCTGGTTAAAAAGTAGCTTCTGATTCAGTTATCTCTGGGGTAGAAATGCAAGTTCTCAGCAGGGGGTTGAGCCAGAATGAATCAGTTAGAAATTCTGGAAAGTATACTTCAAGTTACAAGAAACCCAGACCTCAGCCGTCATCTTTTAGCGTCCATTCCTGCTAAGGCCTGTGCAGAGATGATGTCCCAGCAGACGTCAGTTCCCCTCCTCCTCCTTCCCCTCAGAGACACCAGGCAGAGTCCGCCCACGAGGCTCCCAAAGCCAAATGAACCCCTTAACTGATTTGTGTGTGTGTGTGTTTTCTTCTTCTGGAAGGCCCTGAGTAGTCGGCATGGGGGTGGGTGTGGGCGGGGTAAGACCATAAAGACAAAGCAATTTATAGGACTATTCAATGGATTCTTTTATGATTCTCCCAACTAACAAAGTAAGAAACTGAGGCAGAGGTGACATTAAGTAGCTCATCCCAGGTCACTCACAGCTAGTGAGTGGCAGAATGCGCATTCAATCCTTGTCTCCAGGAGGAAGGGGAGGGAGAGAAGGTTCACTCACCCCTCACAGGGACAGCCCCCCACCCCCACCCATAGCCGCATGAGGACCAACTGAGAAGGCATCCAAGCTGTATCAGGGTCACACAAGGACTCTCTGTGGGAGACATCGCGGACAGATTCTTTGTGCCTCCCAATGCCCGACTGTGTGTCTTGTCATAAATTGTGCAAGGAGCTATGCTGCTGGGGCCAAAGAATAATGGCTGCGCTGTTCTCTGGTACCCAACCAGGATCCTCACCAGGCAGAGAGGTGGGGCAAGAGCTGGGAGTGTCTTCTTCCTTTAAGGCAGGGAGGAGCAGTATGAAGGACCCCAATGAGAAGAGAACACTGGAGGATTTTCTGGAAGGTGGCCAGCCTACCAAGGCTGAAGAGTTCCTTGAATTATCCACCCCGATAGCGGCTCTAATTTATAGGCTCCAACTGTCAGGAAGTGGACCAGCTAAGACTTGTGAAATGCCTGACCCCAAGGCCCGCATGATCCTGGATGGGGGTCAAGGGGTGATCCCAGCTGGCTTGTCTTTCTTTGAGCAAAGGTTTCTCGCCCAGGGCTGATTGTGTGTTTCCCCCAAGGCAAAAATGCCAGAGGCAAGCAAGGTGGAAAAAACTGGGCAAATGGAGCAGCTGCTCTTCTAGGCTCTTCCAACTGACCTGCATGATGGAAAGTAAACATTCTACCTCAGCTCTAGCTTCATGAGGGTCACCATGCCACCACAGTACTGCATGGCTGTGGGTCCCAAGCAGCTCTCCTCCTGCTTATGGTACCAGGGGCAGGGGGCCAGAAACTGTGAGTCAGAGAAGAGATGAGCTTTGACAAAGGAGGCACTTACTGAATAGCATTTTATGGGGTCACTCAGAGATTAGCCCACAAGTCCAATTGGAGTACCAGGCCCCTTAAGAAAGTTAAGGGAAGGTGTCTGGTGGTACCAGCAAAAATTTGTGAGGCAACATGCTCTAGGGGGAAAGTCCTACAAGGATCAATGCTCACCAAGTGTTACTCCTCCTTATATCTGGGATAAGCGACCGGGGCAAGAAGTTCTGTGCCCCTCCTGCCTGCCTGATCTACTAGTCTGGAGTGCTCCGCCACCTAGTGGCACGTCTGAGGTCCTCACCTGAAACAGCCACTGCAGCAGGGGAACGGGGCAGTAGGTGGTGTGCAGGTAGAGGTTGCTCAGGAGGCCCCTGTGAAGGAAGGCAAGCTGCTGGGCCGGTGAAGAGCTGTGGGTGCAAAGGCAGTTGATGTTAGGGATGGCTTCCAGGCCCTGCCAGGTTGGCAGCCATGCTGTGGAAGCTGACCTGCCATGCCAGTACTCAGCAGAGGCCACTCTGCCTGCCTGTCTCCCTTAAACTGCAGCAGACTCTCAATGTTCAGCATCACCAGGATACCACAGAGCACAGCTGTGATTGGTGTTGTTGTTCTATGCTGTGGAGTCGGTTCTGACTCAGAGCGACCCTGATTGGATTTCCGAGGCTATAAATCTTTAAGAGAGCAGAAAGCCTCATCTTTCTCCCATGGAGTGGTAGATTTGAACTGCTGGCCTTGAGGTTAGCAGCTCAGCTTATAATCCACTATGTTACCAGAGCTCCTTACAGTTTAGTAGTGACAAAAATGCTTGAAGCCTTTGAGGCAAGGAGCTGTCAGAATAAGTGTTGTCACTAGAATGGATTGCTTTTCTTTCATATCTCCCACAAACATAGTTCAAGGTGTCTTAAGACACATGGCTGGGTAATATACTTTTGTCTTTTCCATTTGACAGAGGAAGAGTATATACCAGGACTACAAAAGGGACCTATGGCACAGTGAGGACAGAACCCAGTCACGCCTCTCACGTGGGCTCAGGGCTGCAACAGGCAGACAGAGTTACCACTGGGGCCCGCAGCCAGTGCCCTGGGGTCTGGTTACACACGGCATTTCTGCCAAGGCCTGTATTTTTCCAAAACAAAGGGGACACCCGAGAAGATGGGAAAATAACAGAAAGGGGCCCAGAATAGGGAATCTTGGGAAGGATACAGTAAGATGCCAGTCTGTGGGCAGGGCCACAGTGGGAGTCAGGGACAGTTGCTACTCAGATAGTTTCTGAAAAATCTTGTATGGAACTGGCATCTTACTGGGTCTCTCCCATCTAACAGGAACTTTCAAAACCCAACTGCTAGAAATTCAGGGCCAGGTAGTGGAGGTGGTTATACAATATGGAAAATGTAATTACTATCACTAAATTGTATGCATAAAAACAGCTAAATTGGCATGTTATATGCAAGGGGGCTTCAAAAAGTTTGGGAAAAAATGGATTGAAAATATAGTTAAGAACTTTTCCTTAACTTTCGAAGCTCTTATGTATTTTGTCACAATTGAAAAAAAAACAAACAAAAACCCACCCAAAGCCAAACTTATGGTAGAATTATCTTAACTTGTAAGACAAGTACTTGAAATATGTCATGTGCTTTTAGGAGCTCTGGTGAGAGGTGCTAGGAAAGTCCTTTTAGAAGGGTAATCTAGAGGGATTAGCCCTGGGGTGGCACTGTAGGGTAGGCACTGGATTGCTAACTAAAAGGTTAACAGTCCAAAACCACCAGCCGCTCCTGGGAACCCCCTCTAAGGGTTGCTACGAGTTGGAACCAAATCGACAGCTAGAGTTCATCACCCTCCCTACCTCCCGCAGTCACTGAGTCAGGGGTAGGATCTTCTCCTATCCGTGTCTTGTGAATACACTTTTGTTCTCTCTAGATTTGTTCTGGTGTGGCGCTGCAGGGTAAGCACTGGACTGCTAACTGTAAGATCGGCAATGTAAACCCATCAGGTGCTCCTTGGAAACCCTATACAGGTTGCTATGAGTTGGAAACAACATCTGAAGAGTACTTGACAACAGATACTTCCTAAAGACATGAAATGAGAAAGTAGTTTCATGTTTGTTCTTCTTTTTAATGGCTAAGTAGTATTTAAAGTCATGACCCTAGATAGAAATTTCCTCTGTCAGTCTAGCCTCCTCTTCCTTTTCCTTTTTAAACGACATCGTATTTTATCCTGCTAGGAACAGAATGCTCTCAAAGAAAGATTTTCCTCCAAGCCAAGCTGTTGTCTCTCTAAGTATGTCCAGGCAATTTACAAACTCTATTTTTATTCCGACCCCCCCCCCAAAATAATTTAAGTCCTGAGGAGAAAGCGGCTTTGTCCCTGCTGCTGTGAAGTTCACGGCTCTGCCCCAGCTGTCTGTTAGTACAGGAAAACACACATGCACTCCAGGGCTGTTGGCACACAACCCTCTGCCCCCCCCCCCCCCCCCGCCTCCATGTGCCCAGGCACAAGGATGCCCACCCTCAGGGAGGTATGTTCACAAACTGACCCCATGAACACATACTAAGATGCATGGCTGAAGCACCTGCAAGGTTCTCAGGAAGCACAACTCCCAAGCAAACACACTTTGAGGGACCTCTCAAACTGCGGCCATGTGGCCGGGAAGCTGGTGCTCAAGGGAGTCTAAAGAATGAACATACGCTGACATTCTGGTCAGAGGGCATCCAGTCAGCTTCTCAGTCGGGGAGCTGATTGTACAAACCCCTGTTGGCTCAGATCAATGCATTTCCAACTGCTGCTCTCAGGGGGCAACACCCCTCCCCATCACGAGGCCTCTCTTCTGCTCAGCTGGTCTGCTCCACCCATCTTAGAGAGCAGTGCCTGCCAGCCACTGAGAGAGATTTAGTCTGTAACACCAGGAACCAGAGATAGGCAGAAAGGGCATATTCCTGCTCTGCCTTGAAGTGATTGACTTTTAAGAAATTCTTTGTCCAGAGCTAGATGAGATGCAAGGAAGCTCCTCTCCAGGTTTAGTCACAAGCCAAGTGCGTCTGCTCCAAGAGTAGTGTTGCTTCACTTTGGCTGAACCAAGAGCTGCTGGTTTCAGTGTTCTGGGGAAGAGAGCAAGCTGATGGCATAAGGTAACCTCAAGCCTGACCAAGGGGAGGAGATGAGGGCCTCTAAAGTAGGAAAGAGAGCCCACTCCTAGGCAGGGGGAGTCTGAAGGAGCACCAGGGTTGGGAGGCTGCCAGGAGAGTAGTGAGAGATCCAACATCTTACATTGTAGGAATCGACCACTAGATAGATTTACAAAGCTCCCCATCAGGTCTGCAAGTCAAGAACACTGTCAATGGGTCCGAGTGGGAGTCTTCTGTGTAAAGTTGATGCTAATGATCTGAAGGCATCCCGTGAATGCGGGAGAACCCTAGAGTGAGAGGGGAGGAGCAGTGGATGCCACACAGGTTCAGCTGCCAGCCAGCAGCCCAGATCATCCCAGCAGAGGGAGGGTCTCATTGAGAACCTGGGTCTTCACTTGGAAAAGAGACAGTTAATCCCCAGCCACAACTTCAATGATAGAAGGCAGATGTCTGCTTCTAACCTCACTACCCATGGGAAGAGAAGGAAGGAAACCGGAAGAAATAAGCCCAAATGGGGAAACACACAAAATCCGTAGACAACCAAAGAATGGGCCCAGTTTGGTTCCGTGTGTTGGGTTTCTGGAGCAAAGCCCTGGCCTTTGTTACAGACAAAATCCAAATAAAGATCCCTTCTAGCCTTTATCTCCTCATCTATTGTATGGGCAGCCATCCCAGCGGGCAAAGTCTCGAAATGCTTTGGGAATCCCAAACGATGGCAGAGGGATAAACACCTAGTGTAGTTATGTATATAGGATCAGTTTCTGCACACTTGCCAAGTTACTCAAATGAAGGTTTAAAAAGAATGCTGAAACAGAACAGAAACAGATAAAGGTCAGGGCTTTCAAAACGGAGTGTCTTCTTTGTTTTCTTTCCTTTGCTTAAAGGTAAACAAGAACCACCACCATCAGGACGCAGGGAGCCTCAGGACCTGCTCCCAGGCTGAATGCCTTCATCCCCAGCAAATCCCAGTTCCAGCTGCTTCCACTTGCTCATTTGTTTTCCTTGGCTGTCAGGTGGACTGCTCTGCCCTGTCCACACTCACTAGTTGCTGGATTTATTTCACTCTTGCTTCAACACTGGGATACCTGACAGAGGAAGTTCTCGCTCATCACCAGCCAAGAGCTGAGTCTGCCAGGTCTCCGGTGGAGCCAGTGGGTATTCGCCATTTAATGCTAATGAGGCTCAGGCACACCACAACCTACTTTCTCCTGCCGGCTTTAAGCAGGCACTTGGGCTCCTAGGGACACACCCAGTCCTGCACCTGAATAGTGGCAGATACACCCGGGGCCCCGGGGCCATGTGGCGGGATAAACGTGTATTCTGACACTCCCACGCACAGATATTTCTGTACCGAGTACCTGCCGCAGCGGCCTCGTACTCAACGGGGGACCTAGGAAAGGCCATGAATAATTCAGCAAGCAATCTCTCGGCTTCCTGTGGAGCTGCGGAGCCAGCCAGCGGGTTCTCGCAATTGCATAGGAGCAGTGTGTGGGCGTGGCTCCTGACGCTTTCCTACCTAGTGGATCTGGATCGGATTTCCTTTTAAACTGCTGTTGAGGGAAGAGAAAGCAGGTCAGTCAGTGGACTCGGCTGGTACCGAAGCGGTCATGAAGGCATGTGACTCGGGTCCCAGGAACTTATATGAGGTCATCCTCAACAGTCCACGACCAGTGAAAGAGCCCTTAGGATCCTGTCCAATCTCACAAGGGAAGGCAGGGCAGAAGCGTTCTTGCAAATAAACCTTTGTAGGGCCAGTCCAGAAGGATGTTGCCTGGAGCTCAGAATGCCAAGTAGGCCTCCACTTGCTCTGTGGTCTGAGACAAATTTAGCTTCCTTAATCTATGCCAAGATTTTCCCACTTCGTACACTGGGAAGAAAGAGATTTTTCTCTTCATAGAAGAAGTAAATCTATTTCAAGAAGGTATTAAAAAAACAAACAACAGTGTGTCGATTTGGTTCCAACTCCCAGGGATCCTGTATAGGGATTCTCAGGAACAGCTGGTGGCTTTGAGTCTCCGATCTTGGGTTAACAGTTTAATGCTTATCCACAACGCCTACCAGGACCCCATACAAGCAACACCTATTCTTTTTTTTCCCTCCAATGATAAAAATGACACGCTTAGTGTAGAAAACCTAGAAACAAAAACATTATCGGTAATCTCACAAAGTGTTAACTTTTATATGCCAAGAAATTGAACTGATTTTTTTTTTTTTTTAAGAGATCAGATATCCTTAATTTTCATGTCTCACCCTGACCTTAATGGGTAACTATTCACAACCAGTATTTCTCACTCTTAGAGTATGGACTTAAAGTCCTTGGCACAAACAGGAAATGAAATGCTGACCTTCAGAAAGTGAAAGTCGCCCATCCCCACTGCCTAGCAGGAGCCCTCTGACCCATGTGTGTAGCACAGTGGGCTTTTATCCAGGAAGCAGCATGAAGTTCCCAAAGCAATGGATCTGAAGTCAGGTAACACTATCTCCCACTGTACTCATTATCATCATTTCAGGAGGAGGGTCTGAACTTCTCATTCAGGGAAGCTGGGCAGCCACCTGGCCCCATTTGGCAGGGACACTCTGATCCCAGGTCACTGCTCCACAGGCCATCTCATCTGTCATACAGTTTCAGTCCCTCCATCAAGTTGGCTGGTGACAGAAAATGTGCTTTGGCACAAACCAGGAGATCAAATAAGCACAGAAGTTGCCTTCCTTTCTGCTGTCCCCTTCCTTCTAGCCCATTTTTTGTCCCTTTTCTTCCTATTTCCACTACCTTCCTTCTTTTCCTTTCATTTACTCCCTTCCTGTCTTTTCATTAGCTTCGCATTAATGCCTTTTCAGTGTGACAGTATTGTCTCTGCTAGGTGACAATGAGTCCTGCATCATCCATACAATCACTGCTGTCTGAGTCCACTGTTGCAGGCATGCCCGGTGCCAATCCATCTCTCTGAGGTGTTCCTCTTTTTTGCTGACCCTCAACTTTACCAAACATGAAGCCTTTCTCCAGGAACAGTCCCTCCTGATAATGTGTCCGAAGTATGTGAGATGAAATCTTGCTGTCCTCACTTCAAAGGAGCATTCTAGCTGTACTTCTAAGGCAGACTTGCTTGTTCTTCTGGAAGTCCATGTTATATTCAATATTCTTAACCAACCCCGTCATTCAAATGCATCAATTTGGCATTATAAATCTTTACAATGTTCACAGATTCAGACCCAATAATCTCACATCTAGGAATATATTCTGGACCTCCAGACAAATTTTTATTCATGGGAATATTCTTCACAATACTTATAATAGGAAAAAGTTGGGGAAAATCTGTCAAAAACAATGAAAATGACTACCTATGCTGGAGAATGAAAGCAGCACAATATTATTTATTTCATCATTAACATGAGATTGCCTAACTGTACTATTTGGACCTTATTTAGATCTTGATGAAAGCAATCCCTAAAAACAAAACAACTGAGGCAATCTGAACACTGGCATTAATATTAACGGTATTAAGGATTACTATCTTATTATAAAGGAGCTCTGGTAGCGTAGTGGTTATGAGTTGGACTGCTAACCTCAAGGTCAGCAGTTCGAAATTACCAGCCATTCCGTGGGAGAAAGATGAGGTTCTTCTGCTCCCATAAAGATTTACAGCCTCTGAAACCCTACACAGGGTTGCTATGAATCAGAACTGACTCCACAGCACTCCACAATATAAGCATTGCTGTTATATCTAAAAATGGAGTTGTATCTTTTAGGAATACAAACAGAAGTTATGTGAGTATGGTATTTGTTTAAAATTAATTGTGGGCTGGAGGTTTGGATCTGAAAACCAACCCAGACACAGATGAAAAATGACTGACTGGTCTTGAGCTGATCACTGCTGTGGTTTGAGTGACGGGTAACTTTTATTGATGTGGATGTTTTTAAGGCAACAAATAATAAAAAGTTTTAAAGGGAACACATCAAAATGGTAAGTTACCTTTATATTACAGAATAATACGATATTGAATGAAGAAAAGGAGCCCTGGGGAATCAAAAGTAAAGTGATGATGAGCTGCTAACAAAAAATCAGCAGTTTGACCCTCCATGGGTTCTGTAGGAGGAGACCTGGGGATCTGCTTCCATAAAGATTAGTCTAGAGAACTCCACACGGGAGAGTTCTACTTTTTCACATGGGGTCAGTGTAAGTCTGAATAGGCTCAGTGGTACCCAACAACAGAATCAATGAAATAGACATAAGAAAGCCCTGAATCCTTGGTTGAGAGAACAAGGCTTCTGCACTCAATTTCATGAGGCCTGAGGAAATGGCAGAGAAGCTCTGTTTGTCATAGGGGATGATAGCCCCTTTTCTATCCTTTCACCTGGCCTGCCTAAGCTCCCAGCGGGCAGCCAATAGCTGAACCCTGGGGGCATTCTCTCCCTCTGACCCTTCAAAAATCACTGTATTATCATGATTAAGGACTTTTTAAAAAAATATCACTTTAATAAGGAAGTAATAATTTACTTCCACAAGGAAGAAGTTCAAGGTGGCTGTCCTATTGGCAGGCAGAGTGTGCGTGTTGCTGGGGACAGAATTTTCAGTGTTCATGTTACATATACTGTTCAAGTAGCGTCTTGAACAAGCTGTGGAAGTAAAGATCGATCGTTAACATGGTCTGGAAAACTGTGTTGGGTAAGCTGGGAAATGGCTCTGGTATAGATGGACAAAGATACGCCTGAGGAGTCTGGCTAAAGCTGCTTCCAGAAACTGAAGTGTGACAGAGGCCAAAGCAAGATGGGCATATAAATAAATGATTTAATAGAGCATAGCATTTAAAAAAGTATGCACTTTTTTAGTAAGTGAAATAAATATTATAGTTAGACATGTTTGATAATTTTATCAATAGCCCCCAAAATTGGCATACCCAGATTGGCCAAAACATGGCTTTGGATTTCTTCCCGCGGGGCACCCATACTGCTGCGCCCACATGCCACACATACCTGAGAAATAGGCCTTCTAGGTGGCTATGAGGCTTCAATTGTGAGCAGTCCAAGACACACTGTTGGGGATGACGCCTGGGCACAAACACAATCTCTCCTGGGTGGATCTGCGGGATGACGTGTTTCGACACAGAGAACCTTTCCACCAGCATCCTAGCAAAGCAAGTCAGGAGACCCAGTGTCAGCAATGCATACAGGTTTGCAATTTAGGAGGTGGCCCAGGAGAAGCCAGGTGGCTTCCCCCCTTCAAAGAACACTGGGCACCACATCCCCACCTCCAGAGCCAAAGGCTTCAGAGAGACAGGAGTTGCCTGCCTGACCAGTGGCCAGATAAGAAGGCCTAGGTGAGGACAGTGCCACCTGCTGTTGGAGGAAGAATCCACCAGACTAACATACCCTCCACTCTTGTCAATGCACTCCAACCTTCCAGGGCAGTAGTCCAGATGCCTAGTCCCAGACCCACCAGTTGGCTCTGTCACCTAAAACTCTTACTGAGTGTTTACTATGTACCGGTAACAGCTGCTGAATTGAGACAGCTCAAATCGCTTCCATACCCTCTGGCAAGTGAATCCTTAGAGCTGCCTACAGGGTGGAACAGGGACACAGGAGAGAATCACTCAGTGCAGCCAAGGCCAGCTAAGGCATCCTGGGAGGGGTGGGAGGCAGTCTCAGGGGGCAGTAAAGGCAGAAGTAAGGTAGCACCAAAGAGCAGAATGTGTTGGGCACTGCTAGAGCTAAAGTATGTGCAACACTAGGGTGGACAGCCAGGGCGCCAACTCACGAGCAGCTCACATGTCAGATTAGGGACTCTTCCTCAAGCTTTAGGCTTTAGTGATCCACAGAATCATCAGGGAGCTTGCTGAAATGCACAGTCCTAGGCCCTGTCCCGCTCAGAGATCTGATTTAGCAGATCTGAGTTGAGCCTGTTGGAAGTAAGGTATAGGACAGAGAAGAGGGAATACAGTCAAATGGAACAGGGCGAGGTAAAGGGACTTGACCTACGTGAAGAAGAGATGGTAAAGGGAAGGAGTTAGGATGATTCCAAAGAAAGAGGTAAATTCTTTCACAATGAAAGCTTGACGTGACATTGCTGTTGAGGGAAAACATCAAGTTGCAGAACAGTATGTATGTGTGTGTGTACACATATATACACATAGAAATATATGCAACACATAAACACACACAATACCCACACACGTGTCTACACTCAAATATGATCTAGGGTTACCCTTGTTGTCAGTAAGTCCCTTCAAGTGAGTTCTGACTCATAGCGACCCTGTATAGGGTTTCCAAGGAGCGGCTGGTGGATTTGAACCACCAACCTTGCAGTTCAAACCAACCATGTGGTCCAGTGCTTTATCCTACAGTGCCACACCAGTACTGCAGGGTTACCCTTACGTTACAGGATTTGGGGGGAGGAAAAGGAGGAAGGAGAGACTTCCCGTTCACTTTATATAATATAGTGCATTCTGCTTGATTTTGTATAACATACATTTAACAATAATAACAACACAAATAAATTAATCCTTGAGTTCTGGGAGTAGAACTGCAAAGCTGGCCACTCACTGGCCAGTCAGCCAGAATGGCTCACATCACAGGGTCGGCATGAGGATAAATGGCCCAACTAGGTGGGAAAATGGGAAAGAGGACTCAATGCTTGGGGACACTGAGCTTAGCTCTAAGGGTGATGGGAAAATCTGGGAATGGATGAGGGTAGTAGCTGAAAAACATGACCAACATGCCTAATGTCACTGAACTGCACATGTAAATGAAATGGCAAATGTTTTATTACAAATATGTATTTACCACAGTAATAATAATTTTATTTTTTCTTAAAAGTTTTATTGTGAATTATGTGATAGTTTACATGGGAGAACATTAGTTTTACATTCATTCTATTGTATATTGTCTCATTGCCATGGTTACAATCCCCTCCATGCAATCCTTCCCCCGTGCCCGCCAGGTCTTCAGCACACAGTCGCTCTCCCTCTCTGGATCTAAAGTCTCCAGCTGCTCCATCACTCCACGTCATCATCTCTGCCTCCATTTCAGGCATCACTGCTTCTCTGGGTAGGGTCCCACTCTCT